AGACCACCATAATAAAGCAAATCTTACAATAAAACAAGTCAGGAGAATTTTTCAGTTTCCTAGTGCATATAAAAGTTATGTTTACATTATACTGTAGTCTATTAAGTGTGCAATAGCATTTCTAAAAAACAATGTATATACTTTAATTTTAAAATACTCTATTGTTAAAAAAATAGTAGTCATCATCTGAACTTTCGGCCAGTCATAATCTTCCTGGTGGAGGGTCTTGCCTCAATCTTGATGGCTGCTGACTGATCAGGGTGATGGTTGGTGAACGCTGGGGCAGCTGTGGCAATTCCTTAAAATAAGACAACAATGAAATTTGCTAAATTAATTGGCTGTTCCTTTCATGAACAATTTCTCTGTAGCATGTGATGCTGTTTGACAGCATTTTGCCCACAGTAACTTCTTTCAGAATTGGAGTCAGTCCTCTCAAAACCCTGCGGCTGCTTTATCAGCTAAATGTATATACTATTTTAAATCCTTTGTTGTCATTTCAATAATCTTCACAGCATCTTCACCAGGAGTAGATTCATCTCAAGAAACCACTTTCTTTGCTCATCCATAAGAAGCAACTCGTCATCCATTAAAATTTTATCCTGAGATGGCAGCAATTCAGTCACATCTTCAGACTCCACTTCTAATTCTAGTTCTCTTGTTTCCACCACATCTGCAGTGACTGCCTTCACTGAAGTCTTGAACCCCTCAAAGTCATCCATGAGGTTTGGAATCAACTTCTTCCAAACTCCTGTTAATGTTGATATTTGACCTCTTCCAATGAATCATGAATGTTCTTAATGGCATCTAGAATGGTGAATCATTTTCAGAGGGTTTTCAAATTACTTTGCCCAGATCAATCAGGGGAATCACTATCTATGGCAGCTATAGCCTTATAAAATGTGGGTTTTTTTGTTTTTTTTTTTTGTTTTTTGCAGAAGAGAAAAGCACTTGTTAGCATTTAATGAACCTGCCCCCCTCAACGTGGCTTCAAGCTACTAGAACGCAGGCACTCCCAACACCCTTAATCTTCTCCTCTGCTCTTCTACTGAAGAATTTGGCCTTCACGATGACAGGCTGTTTTGGGAGTTTTCCCCTTCCCAAAACTTTGTAGTAGCCCGATCACACCACATCAATGATAGGAGCAGCTCCAGTCTTGTTTATGGCAGCATTTACCCATGTCTGCTCACTGACTAAGGTCCACAGTTTATCAAGGTTGACAGTTGGGCAGAAGCTCTGGTTCTTCTTTAAGTGGTAATGTCTCATACCAACTTTTTCAAAGTAACCTGGGTGATATTTGTCGAAGTTGATCCTGTGGTGATGCATGCCACCAGCATTACCCCGGCCTCCTGGGCGCTTCCGGTGCTTGCTGGTGCAGCTGTGGCCGTGGCTCACGTGGCCCCGAAGTTTCCGGGTCTTCCTCAGTCTGGATGGCATGTCAGCAGCCCAGACAGAAAAGCATAAAATGTATTTCTTAAATAATAAGATTTGAAAGTCTAAATTCCTCCTTGGTCCATGGGCTGCAGAATGAAAGTTGTGTCAGCAGTCACAAACCATGAATCTCACTGTCCATCTCATCAGAGCTCTCAGGTGACCAGGTGCATTGTCAGTGAGCAGTCATGTTTTAAAAGGAATCTTTCTTTCTGAGCAGTAGGCCTCAACAACGGGCTTAAAATATTCAGTAAACCATGTTATAAACAAGTGTGCTGTCATTTAGGCTTTGTTGTTCCATTTATAGAGCACAGGCTGAGCGGATTTTAGCATAATTCTTAAAGGCCCTAAGATTTTCAGAATGGTAAATAAACATTGCCTTCAGGGTGCCTGGGTGGCTCAGTCGGTTAAGTGTCTGCCTTTGGCTCAGGTCATGATCCCAGGGTTCTGGGGTCGAGCTCCATGTCAGGCTCCCTGCTCAGTGGGGAGTCTGCTTCTCCCTTTCCCTCTGCCTCTGCCCCTGCTTGTGCTCTCGCGCTCTCTCTCTCAAATAAATAAATAAATAAAATCTTAAAAACACACACACACACACAAAACACTGCCTTCAACTTAAAGTCACCAGCTGCATTAGCCCCTAACAAGAGAGTCAGCCTGTCCTTGGAAGCTTTGAAGCCAGGCGTTGACTTCTCCTCTCTAGCTATGGAAGTCCTAGATGGCATCTTCTTCCAATAGAAGGCTGTTTCATCTGCATTGAAAATCTGTTGTTTAGTGGAGCCACCTTCATTAATTATTTTAGCCAGATTTTCTGGATCACTTGCTCCAGCTTCTACATCAGCACTTGCTGCTTCACCTTCAACTTTAATATTATGGAGATGGCTTCTTTCCTTAAACCTCATGAACCGACCTTTGCTAGTTTCACACCTTTCATCTGCCTTCTTCACCTCTCTCAGCCTTCATAGAATTGAAGAGAGTTAGGACTTTGCTCTGGAGTAGGCTTTGGCCTAAGAGAATATTATGGCTGGTTTGATCTTCTAACCAGACCACTTAGACTTTCTCCATATCAGCAATAAGGCTGTTTCACTTTCTTATCATTTGGGTTTATTGGAATAGCACTTTTAATTTCCTTCAAAATTTTTTTCTTTGCATTAACAACTTGGCTAACTTTGTGGCACAAGAGGCTTAGTTTTCAGCCTCTCTTGGCTTTCAACATGGCTTCTTCACTAAGCGTAATCATTTCTAGCTTTTGATTTAAAGTGAGAGGGGCACCTGGCTGCCTCAGTCAGAAGAGCATGTGACTCTTGATCTTGGGGTTGTGAGTTTGAGCCCCACATTGGGTGTAGAGATTACTAAAAATAAATAAATAAACTTAAAAAATATAAAGTGAGAGACCTATGACTCCCTTTCACTTGGAACACTTAGAGGCCATTGTAGGGTTATTAGTTGGTCTACTTTCATATTGTTGTGTCTCAGAGAATAGGGAGGCTCAAGGAGAGGGAGAGAGATGGGGGAATGACTGGTCAGTAGAAAGTCAGAACAGATACAATATTTATCAATTAAGTTGGTTCTCTTATATGGGCATAGTTTGTGGCACCCCCAAACAATTACAATACTAACATTAAAGATCACTGATCATAGGTCACCATAACAAATAAAATAATAATGGAAAAGTTTGAAGTATTGCAAGAATTACCAAAATGTGACACACAGACACGAAGTGAGCAAATGCTATTTGAAAAATGGCACTGATAGACTTGCTCAATGCAGGGTTACCACAAACCTTCAATATGTAAAAATACCTGTGAAGTACGATAAAACATTTATGCCTATAGTTTTCCTCTATTCTTTATTCTTTCCATCCTGCTTTCTTTTGGTTTACTCTTTTTTTTTTCTAGTTTTTGAAGGCAGAGATTATGTTATCGATTTGAGATCTTTTTTAATATAGGCATTCATAGCTGTAAATTTTCCTCTAAGCACTGTTTTGGTTGTGTCTCATATGATTTGACATATTGTATTTTAATCTTCAGTTATCTTAAAGTATTTTCTAATTTCTCTTGTGATTTCTTCTTTGACCCATTGGTTATTTAGGATTGTGTTGTTTAATTTCCTTGTATTTATGATTTCCCCAAATTTCTTTCTGTTATTAATCTCTAATTTATTCCTTTTATAGTCAGAAAAGATACTTTGTATTATTTTAATCATGTTAAATCTATTGAGACTTATATTGTGGCCTAGCATAAGATCTATTGTGGAGAATGTTCCATATGTGCTTTAGAAAAATGTATATTCTGCTGTTGTTGGGTAGAGTGTTTTATACATATCTATTAAATTTAGTTGGTTTATAGTGCAGTTCAAGTCTTTTATATCCTTTTTTTCTGCCTCATTGTTCTATCCATTATTGAAAGTAGAATATTGAAGTCCCCAACTATTATTGTTAAATTGTCTATTTCTCCCTTCAATTCTGTTTTTGCTTCATATAGTTTTGGGCTCTGTTGTTAGGTTCATATATGTTTACAATTGTTTTGTCTTCTTGTCTGACTCTTTTATCATTATAAAATATCCTTCTTTATCTCTAGTAATATATTTTGTCTTCAAGTCTATTCTGTCTACTATTAGTATAGCCACTCTAACTCTCTTATGGTTGCTGTTTGCATAATACATCTTTTTTTTTTTAAAGATTTTATTTATTAGAGAGAGTGAGAGAGAGCACATGGGAGGGAGGAGGGTCAGAGGGAGAAGCAGACTCCCTGCTGAGCAGGGAGCCTGATGCGGGACTCGATCCTGGGACTCCAGGATCATGACCTGAGCCGAAGGCAGTCGCCCAACCAACTGAGCCACCCAGGCGCCCCATAATACATCTTTTTTGTTGTTGTTGTTCTTTCAAGCTCTTTATATCTTTGAAACTAAAGTGTATCTCCTGTAGAAAACATACAGTTGGGTCTGCCACCTCTGCCATTTTGCTTTTTGGGGGAGGGGGTATATGACTCATAGCTACTTTATTTCTCTCTTCCTCCTTTATTTAGAATTTATTTTTGTAAATGGTCGAGGTGGTTTAGCATCTAGACAGATAACTATGCTAGCTAGCGCCATGTTTAAAAAAATAGCCCTTTTCTACTGAATTGTAATACCTTCTTTGTCATATGTATTGTTCCCATATATAGTTCACTAAGTTTATGCAGTTTCTATTATGTTCTGCTCATGGATCTGTCTTCTCTTGTGTCAATACCTATTGTTTGGTTTTAGCAACTTCACAGTAAATTTTAATGTCTGCTATAGCAAGTCCCTCTTTATTTTGCTTGTTTTTTAAAATTATCTCGGATATGCTCAGACATCAATTGCTCATGTAAATCTTTGAAATCAAAAAGAAAACACCAGTGGTAATCCTTTTAAAATTTCACAATACAGTCACACACATATGTACGTACACAAACACTGACCACCTAATAACAGGGTATGTGTGAAGTTAGGCAATTCATTTGAAGTAGAATCTGGTAAGTGGTAATATAACACATTAAAACAAGACACAATGGGATGATTTATGTGTCTTTCACCTAATAATTGTTTTTTTACTGTAGGGTGAATGCTATTGAAAGTAGTGCCATCAGGATATTGAAAGAGAGAATGATTTCACGAAAAACTGACCTCATTCGTGCTTTCCAACTTCAAGACCGCAGTAAATCAGGTAATAAAATTATGTAATGCTTACTATTTCTTAACATACCAGCTTACATACAAATCAGTTTTCTTTTTCTTCTTTTTTTTTTTTTTTGCTGCCTTAAGATTTCAGTTTTCTATTTTTACTAGCAAGGAAAGACAGATAAAAATAAAATGTAATCCATTATGTACTTGAAAAAAGCCATATTCCTCCTTTGCAGTAAGTTTCTTTCAACTTAAAACAACAACAACCCTTCTATTCTGGTAGTATCTCAGACTAGATACTCTGTAAGGCCCTCCTCTTAAGAAACAGCTAGATTCTAGAGGATATAGAATTTTAATGTATCTACCAGCCTCACAGTAAGATAAATATCTAGGAAACATTCTATTTCTTCATGAAAGGTTTTTTGAAACCACATGTGGGGGCATGGAACAACAAGCAAGCACAAAATGGTAGATTGTCCTGAGGGCAAATGCTAATTTTGGTGTAACACTCAATCCTGAGACTAAACCTTGGGATAATAAAAAGATGGATAAGCTGGATCTGAGACTTCTGCATTAAGCCTGGGCCCTCAAAGTGGCTATGGTAGGCCTATGTTTGTAGTGCCCCCTGAGTCTTGGCAAACAAATGCAAATCCATGTTCAAGGGATGCATCCCTAATTTTGGCCACTAATATATCCAGAGATTAAGATCAACCACGAGCTCATAACCAAAGATCATGAAACACACAAGGAGACAAGCTACCATGAGTAAGAGTCAACAGAAACAACAAACTACAGATTTAGTTCCCTAAAGACATCAGATATTAGAATTATCAAATACAAATACAACTAAGAAATGTTTAAAGAAATAAAAGATGGAATTGCAGACATGCATTTGAAAATGATTTGATGAACCAAATAGCTATAAAAATATACTTGTTTAAAAAAACATAGTGGATGGGTTAAACAGAAGATTAGACATTGCTTAAGAAAGAATTAGAAAGATTAAGAGTTATGGACAGTAAAATAAAGTCTAACATACATCAACTCAGAGTCCCAGGAGGAGAGACTGTAAGAGAGGATATATTTGACATGATTATGGCTGAGACTTTTCCAGAACTGATGAGCAACTCACATTCACAGGTAGAGAGGCACAGTGTTTCTCAAACAGGATAAAAAAATTAAATCCACACCTGTACACACTTGTGGAGAAACTACAGAGCACCAACAGCAAATAAAAATATCTTAAAAGCAGAGAGAAATAACACGTTGCTACAAAGAGAAAACAACTGGACTGTTATCACACTTCTCAATAGTTGCAATAGAAGCCAGTAGACAGTAGAATCATATATACAAAACGTTGAAAATAAAATTTAGAAAAAGATATAACATGAAAACACTAACAAAACCAAAGTTGTAACAGCTCTATTAATATTAGACAAAGTAGACTTCAAGGAAATATACATTACTAGAAATAAAAAGGAACACTTTATAATAAAATATTCAGTTTGCCAATTGAATCCATTCCAAATGTGTATGTACCTCTTAATATAGCCTCAAAAATATGTAAAAAAAAATTAACAGAACAAATAAAAGTAGAAAAATCTACCATCGTATTGGGAGATTTTAATACTCCTTTAACTAGAAGAATTAACTGACAAAAAGATTAGCAGACTTTCCCTAAAAGATGTATATAGAACCCTGTACCCAACATTGCAGAATACACATTTTAGTCAAGCACAAATGGAACACTTACAAAAATTGATTATAAACTGGTACAGAAAGCAAATCTCAACAAATTTTTTGTAAGAAACATACAGAATAAATTTTCTGTCATAGTGAGTTGACAGAAGGTAGCCAGAAAATTCCCTGGGGCTTAGAAATGAGAAATACACTTCTAAATAACCCTTAGATCAAAGGAGAAATAACAGTGGAAATTAGAATTCTGCAACTGAATGAAAATAAAAATGCAACATATTGAAACTTACAGGATGCAAGTTAGAGAAGCACTGAACATGCATACATTTTAATATTTTTAAAAGATGAAACTATGGGGTCACCTGGGTGGCTCAGTCATTAAGCATCTGCCTTCGGCTCAGGTCAGGGTCCTGGGATTGAGCCCCACATCAGGCACCCTGCTCAGCGGGAAGCCTGCTTCTCCCTCTCCCATTCCCCCTGCTTGTGTTCCCTCTCTTGCTGTCTCTCTCTGTCAAATAAATAAATAAAGTCTTTAAACAAATAAAAGATAAAAAAAGTAAAAGATGAAACTATGATCAACAAAGTAAAAAAATAAAGATTCTTTAAGAAACTGGTAAAGTTGATAAAACATTGGTAAGGAGACAGAGAAATAACCAATGCCAGAATTGAAAGGAAAGATGTTACTACAGATTTTACAGATACTAAAAAGCTCATAAGATGTATTATAGAAACTCTTATGCTAATAATTAACACTTTAGATTAAATGGGCAAATTCCTAAAATATGTACACACACACACACACACACACACACACACACACACACACACTCTTACCAAAACTGACACAAAAAGAAATAGAAAATCTAAACAATCCTATAACTGTTGAAGAAAATGGATCTGAAATTTTGAAACTTGCCCCAAAGAAAGCTTAGTTCAGATAGCTTCATTAGCCATTATAATATACATTTAAGAATAAAACCAGTATTACACAAACTCTTCCAGAGAATGTAAATAGAAGGAATATTTCCAAGATTATTTTAGGAGGTCAGCATAACCTTGATACCAAAACCTAACAAAAACTTTATGGAAAAGGAAAATTAACGGCTAATCTCACTCATAAATTTAGATGAAAAAAATCCTAAATGAAATATTAGCAAAAGGTTAATATATCACAACCAAGTTTGGTTTATTCTAGAAATGTTAGGAATTCTAGGTTGTTTTAACATTCAGAAATCAATCAGTGTAATTCACTGCTTTAACAAAATTAAAGAAGTCATGATTCTCTCCAAATAAGAAAAACTTGTTGGATGTATTTTACCTTGGTATCATGGCTTTAGAAAACACTTAGAAAACTAAAAATAGAAGCAAATTTCCTTAGTCTTATAAAGGGTATCTAACAAAGCCTATAGAAAAAAGCACCCTTGACAAAGTAATGTTGAAACCCTTTCTTCTAAGATTGGGAATGAGAGAAAGATGCTGAATAATTCCCATCCCCCAATATGTCTACATCCTAATCCCTAGAATCTCTGAATGTCACCTTATATGCTAAAGGGATTTTGAAGATGTGATTAAAATAATGATCATGACCTAGGGAGACAATCTTGCATTATCTAGGTGGAATTGATATAATCACAATGGTCCTTATAAGAGGGATGTAGGAGGAGTCAGAGTCAGAGGAGAAGGTGATGTGCTGGTGGAAGCAAATATTGCAATGAAAACGGAGGAAGGTGCCTCAAGTCAAGGAATATAGGCAGCCTTTAGAAGCTGAAAAGGGGAAGAAAATGGATCCTCCCGTGAGAGTTTCCCAAAGGAACCAGCCCTGCTGACACTTTGACTTGGCCCAGCAAACAGATTTTGGGCTTCTAATCTCCAGAACTTTAAGAGAATAAATTTGTGTTATTTTAAGCCACTAAGTCTGTGGTAATTTGTTACAGCAGCAGTAGGAAACGAATACAGATATCTACTCTCAAGATTGTTGAAAATTGTACTAGGGATGCTAGCTACTGCAATAAGGCAAGTTAAATAAGATGATAAGAATTAGAAAGGAAGAAATAAAATGTTACTATGTGTAGACAACATAATTGAGTATACAGAAAACCTAAATAAAGACCCAGAAAAACTCTTAGAATTAATAAGTGAATTTAACAAGTTGTAGAACACAAGGTCAATGCACAGAAATTGATTGCATTTCCATATATTAGTATATTGGTTAGAGTCTGTTGGGCCAGAAACCACAGCAATAATTTGAACAGGGAAATTTAATATAAAGAATTATTAACTAGTAAAAGGTGATAATTACTAAAATGGCTAAAAGAGAACTCTAAAGAATATAGGAATAGAAATTATAGAGAGCAGCTACTATCTCTATGGCTGAGAAAGTGTACCCAAGGAAGGAACAAACCTGGAAGGGTGTCCCCTACTGCCACCAAGGCTAAGATTCAGATCTCATTGAAGAGGGAGTGACTATGGCCCACTAGATGGGGTGGAAGTTCACTGAGGTGTCTCATGTCAAAGCTGGTCTATAGCTGCTGGACCAGGACTGAAGAGGATGGAGCTACCCACTGGGGTGCCAGCAAAACCCTCTTTGGGCTGTGTACCACTGAGTCTCCCACACACTCCTGGCAAGGAAGCTATTCTCTGTGGTGTCAGTGAAATTGACTAGATAGTGGGTGCCAATGCATTTCCCACACACCTCTGGCAACCATGCCGTGCTGTAAAAGCAAGAAGGAAAGCATACCAGAAGTATTTCTTCTGCCAAGTCTTAGAGCATTCTTCTTGTACCCTCTACTGACATTATACCAGCTGCCAAAAGAGAAATATTTACAGGGTTCGGTTCCAGTATCACAAAACAGGACAAAGAAGGGTAGATTTGGAGCTGAGTAAGAATAAACTGATAACTGACATAGCTAGGACTTAACTTTTAGATAATGAAAATCTTAAAAGATACCATTCACAGCAGATAAGCAAGGACTGAGGAAGGAACCTAATGATTGATGTATGAGATTTCTAAAATATTATTAAGAGAAATTAAAAAGGACTGAAATAAATGGGTAGATATTACTGTGTGCAAGGGCTGAAGTTGGCAAGATATAAATTCTCTTCAAATTGAGCTATAGGTTCAATGCACCAAAAGGGCATGTACAGAAACGTTCTTAGCAACACTGTTTGTAATAGCCCCAAACTGGGGATAACCCTAATGTCCACCAACAGTAGAATGGATATATAAATTGTGTGTGTTCACACCATGGAATACTATACACCAATGACAATGAAGATGCTAAAACTGAATGGAACAACATGGCTGACTCTCACGAACTTAGTGTTACCAAAAGAAGTCAGACTCCCCCCAGAATATATACTTCATGATTCCATTTACATATAGATCAAAAAAGACAAAAGGTTAATTATAGTGTTGGAAATCAAGATAGCAGCTCTCCTTAGTAAAGTGGGAGGTGGTAGTAATTGTGAGAGGCCACAAGGGGGCCTTTTGAATATTGGCAATATTCTATTTCTTTTTTTTTTTTAACTTTGAGTTTTTATTTAAGTTCCAGTTAACATACAGTGTAATATTATTTTCAGGTGTACAATATAGTGATTCAGCACTTTTACACATCACCTGGTGCTCATCACCTGTTTAACCCCATCCCCCCACCCATCTCCCCTCTGGTAACCATCAGTGTGTTCTCTACAGTTAAGAGTCTATTTCTTGGTTTGCCTCTCTCTTTTTTTTCCCCTTTGCTCATTTGTTTTGTTTCTTAAATTTCACATGAATGAAATCATATGGTATTTGGCAATGTTCTATTTCTTGTCCTTGGTGGTGGCTATTAGGAACTCCCTTTGTGAAAACTCACTGAGCTCTGTCTTTGTTTTGTGAACTTTTCTGTATGTGTTGAACTTTAATTTTAAAAAAAGAATTATGGCCAACAGACACATGAAAAGATGCTCATCATCATTTACCATCAGGAAAATCCAAATCAAAACCTCAATGAGATACCACCTCACACCCGTCAGAACGGCTAAAATTAACAAGTCAGGAAGTGACAGGTGTTGGCGAGGATGTGGAAAAAAAGGAAAAAGGAACCCTCGCGCACTGTTGGTGGGAATGCAAACTGGTGCAGCCACTGTGGAAAACAGTATGGAGGGTCCTCAAAAAGTTAAAAATAGAAATACCTTTTATTTTTTTTTTAAAGATTTTATTTATTTATTTGAGAGAGAGAGAATGAGAGATAGGACGAGAGGGAAGAGGGTCAGAGGAAGAAGCAGACTCCCTGCTGAGCAGGGAGCCTGATGCGGGACTCAATCCCGGGACTCCAGGATCATGACCTGAGCCGAAGGCAGTCGCCCAACCAACTGAGCCACCCAGGCACCCCAGAAATACCTTTTAAACCAGCAATCACACTACTGGGTATTTACCCAAAGAATACAAGAACACTAATTCCAAGGGATACATCCACCCCTATGTTTATAGAAGCATTATTTACAACAGCCAAGATACGGAAGCAATGCAAGTGTCCATCGACTGATGAATGGATAAAGAATAGTGGTATATATACACAATGGAATATTACTCAGCCATAAAAAATAATGAAAGCTTGCCATTTGCAATGGCATGGATGGAGCTAGAGAGTATTATGCTGAGTGAAATAAGTCAGAGAAAGACAAATACCATATGATTTCACTCATGTGAAATTTAAGAAACAAAACAAAAGGGTAAAATAAGAGAGAGAGAGAGAGAGAGAGACAAATCAAGAAACAGACTCTTAACTCTAGAGAACAAACTGCTGGTTACCAGAGGGGAGGGGCTGGGGGGATGGGTGAAACAGGTGATGGGGATTAAGGAGGGCACTGGTCGTGATGAGCACTGGGTGATGTAAAGAAGTGTGGAATTACTATATTATATACCAGAGCTGTGGTACCTGTTGGGACAAGTCACAAAGGAGAGCAGGAGGCACCCAGGCCTCAAAACCCCAAGCTGCTCCCTGGCTCTGCCAAGTAGGTTGCATTTCTTTACCAAATTATCAACCAATGATATGGGCTTTGTTGTTGTTGTTAGGAAAACTTTCTGTGGGCCAGTGGGCTTTTTCCATGGAGAACATTTTGGGGCTGAACTTACCGTGGAGATCCCTGAGTTCTCATCTGGTAACCACAGACAAAAGTGGAAATATTAACTACATGTCCAGCTTCCAGGATATCCACATTCAGAAACCTGTGAAAGAGGCAAGTGAAATGGAGCCCCAGCTAAAACCTGGCTGGAGCGATGGGGCACCTGGGTGGCTTAGTCAGTTAAGCATCAGACTCTTGGTTTCAGCTCAGGTCATGATCTCATGGATTCTGGGATTGAGCCCCACATCGGGCTCCAAGTTCAGTGCGGAGTCTGCTTGGGATTCTCTCTCTCCCTCTGCCCCTCCCCACCCCTCACACATGTGCTCTCTCTCTTTAAAAAAATAAAAAATAAAAAACAAAAAAAACCCTGGCTGGAGCAAAACACCCTTCAGACGACCTATAAAAGGAACTCAGTCCTTTGAAAAGTTGGGGGTGGGGCCCCTGGGTGGCTCAGGGTCCTGGGATCGAGCCCCGCATCGGGCTGCCTGCTCAGCGGGAGTCTTTTTCTCCCTCTGCTCCTCACCCTGCTCTTGTGCTCTCTGTCTCTCTCTCTGACAAATAAATAAAATCTTAAAAAAAAAAAAAAAAAGAAAGTTGGGGAGTGAGAATCACCTAATGGATGGGTGTGGCAGTCTTGGGAAAGGCCTAAGGGGGCTCTCCCAGGTACATCGTGATCTGTTCAGGAAATTTGTGCCTTGTGAGAATAGGCAACATGGAAAAAGAAGGAAAAGCTTCTGCAAGCAAATCCATGTCAAATATGTGATTCTTCTCTGACATGCTGTCCAGCAGAAGGACAGATATGACATCTATTTTTTCATCTAACTCCCCCCTTAAATACTCAACAGAGTCCCTATTAAACTGTGGGGGAATAAACTTGCTGACATGACATTTTATGCCTTAAAGACTTGTAAACTTTAGAATCTCTTATTAAAATGGGAACACCGCAAGGAGAATTATTAGACACCACTCCCCATACTTATTAGTCAACAACCCTTTGGCAATTAGTTATAACCCTGAGCCGAAAGGGAGCTCATGGGAACTAAGAATGGGGTGATTGTTTGCAGGGGAGATGAGAAGAGCAGAGAGAAGAAAACTAAAGTGCAGGTGAGAGAGTAAAATACCCACATGAAGGAGGCTTTTGGCTTCACCCAAGAGGCAGTTTACCATGATGACCAAACCCATAGGCCTTGGCTTCAGGCCGCTGAGAGTCACATCCCATTTACCAGCTATGTGAACCCTGGGAAACTTACTTTACCTCTCTGTTTTCTAATCTGTAAAATGGACATAATAATAATTCTGTTCTTTGGGGCTCTTATTGAGGACACAATGAAATGACCCATGGAAAACTCTCAGCGCAGAGCCTGCACTTGGGTGTTCTCAGTAAATGTTGGCTGTTGTTCATCGCTTCCTGATTGGCGTGGGCCCTGTCCCCTGACACACACAGGCTGCACTTGCTTCCACATACAAGAGTGTGGTCTTGTCTTCGATTAAAGGGGTTGGTCCTCCAAGGAAGGCCTTCTCAAATTTCTATCTAAATCACATCCTTTGAACTGGTGATAATGTTCTGTGTTTGTTACATTTACTAAAATTGTCCTGTGTTATTAAGTCTATGTGTTTTAACATTTAGAACATCTTTATTTTAGGCTCAATCTACTCTAATTGAAACTCTGTACAGATACCGCTCTGACCTGCAAATCATCTTCAATGTCATTGACTCTGATCACTCAGGTAAATGAGCGTTGACTAGTTCAGTAGCAGTAGAAAGCAAAGGGTGATCTGTTTCTCGGAAAGCAGAACTCTGTTTTCATCTGTTGCGTTCTTCGCCCAAACTTGATTTAACTCGGGGGGGAGGGGGGCGGGGATAAACTCATGTTTAATATTATTATTATTTTAGTTTGTCCAAAAACTTTATTCAAGACCTTACAGTTCCTATAGGCCTCTGTATCTATTAGACAAGAATAGCTCCTTTTATAAGTCACCACACAGATGAAAAGATAATTTCCTGGCCATTTAAACATAGTGGTTACTCCAGGCAATAAAAAGCATTCCTGGACTTCTGATTCTGCTTTTGGGACTCAGGGCCATGAAAATTCATTTCTGCTTGGCTTTGAGGCACAATTACTTGTTTTCAAACTCTAAAAAAAATTCGTTGGGTAATCCCCAACTGCAGAGATCATTGAATACCAAAGGGTCAATAATCAAAATATGAAAGTAAATCATTGCCTATAAAACATGGCAGAGCCATTGTTTACAATCCTTTTATTGAGGGCCAGGGTATCTTCTCCCTCTGCTTTGATGTCCCTTTCCCTTAGATTTGAGATCTTACAATTTCTATACCACATAGTGTCCCACAGTCTACAATCTACCCTCATCCCTTCGGTGTAGACTCATTCCAGGTTTCGAATAATCTCAGGATCACTTGGTACTTGAATGTGACATATTATGTCTTATATTAACAGTCTGACTTTTCTATTTCCTTCAGTGTCTTGATGGTCGGGGCATGTGAGTGAGCTTCTCATTAGGACTATTCAATCAGTATAACTTCCCCACCCCTCCATTAGATGGGTCTTAAAACCAACACTCATACATTCTTCTATATTCCTTTAGGCCTGATTTCCATGGAAGAATTTCGTGCCATGTGGAAACTCTTCAATAGTCACTACAGCATTCATATTGATGATTTTCAAGTTGATGAGCTCGCTGAAAGAATGGACTTAAACAAAGATGGAAGCATTGACTTTAATGAGTTTCTAAAGGCTTTCTATGTAGTGCATAAATTGGATAAGTTGAACAAATCAGATGGCAACCCTCCTTAACAAGAACTAGGACTTTCCCTCCTGTAAACTCTTGGGCCGAAATCACTGACGCCATCTTTCCAGAACCCTTGTAATTCATAATCAGTAGTAGAGAAAAGTAGACCCCCATTCATACCATGAGCAGATATATAATGTGGGTTTCTGAAGTCCCCATGAAGCGGTAATTGGTAAAACTAGATTAAATGTCAGCTGATAGTATTTGGCTCCAGTGTTAGGACTCACACAGTGCCAGGTAGAAACTGGGTTTGAGCCTAGTGTTGGCCTCTTGGACCAGGAGACCAGAGCAGTTTGGAAACATGTTGAAAGGAACCCACAGAGCACCAGAGAAAAGTGCAACATGTGTCAGTGACTGAGGGATGGGAGGAGGAATACCAAACTATTAATGGAATAAAATATGTCCATCTTTAAACTCAATCTTCTTTGGAGACCATAAACCAGTGATTCTCAATCGTGGGGGAACCATACTTGAGGGATGGGGGCCATATCAGATTCTTGGTGGGAGAGTATTGTTTGAAAAAGCCTATTTTTTCCTGTCTGTTGGAGATACAAAGTGAACACAATTCAGATTGAACCCTAGAGTTAATATGGTTTGACACCTTCATTGGTGAGATGGGGCCTTGGTTATGCATACACTGTGCAATTTATTCTGCTATTCCGATTGCATATCAAACATAATAGATTTCTCCTTAAAGGCGAGTATGTGTTTCATTTTTTTCTAATTTTGAGAACCTTAAGATCTATCAGTATGCCAGGTTAGATATCCACAACCCTACCTGGTACACACACCAGGAATAATGGATAAAATATAACAAATTTCGTTTTTAAATGCATAGCTGAGCTGGCAAGAAAGTAATAGAAACCCCTAGTGGGCAAGAAAAAAAAGAACATAATTAAAACTGTAGCAATACTAACGTCAGACAGGATATAGACTTTGAGGCAAAAAATATCATTAGGGATAAGAGGGGTCATTACTGAATGCTAAGAGGAACGATTCACCAAGAGGATAGAATTATAAACGTATATGCATCTAATAACAGAGCTTTAAATTTTATAATGCAAAAATTGACATAACTACTAGGAAAAATTGGTAGAGGGAGATTTTTAATATACTTATGTCAGGAATTGACCATGTATATAAAAAAATAGTGTATAGACTTTTGGACAACCCAGTTAATCCACCTAATTGCAATTGTGTATGTGTGTGTACAATTTTAGAGAATACACATTGTTTTCAAGCACACATGGAACATTTGTAAGAGTTGACCATGTATTAGACTACAACACATATCTCAAATACCAAGCAACCAAAAACAAAGATACTACATTCTCTGATCATAATGCAGTTAAATTAGAAACAACATAACCATATTAATGAGTGAAAAGGAATATAACTGTAGCTCTACCAGAAATTGCTAAAAACAGTTCACAAGAATACTGTAACCATTTTTAAAAATAGGCGAATGGACTGTTTCTTAGAGAAAAATGTAATTTACTAAGACTGACTCAAGAACAAAAGGAGGGTCTGAAGAGACACAACCATTAAAGAATGTGATGGATTTGCAATGTGTCAATTTGGCTAGGCTGAACTGCATTTCTCAGAATTCCTGTTCTTGTATGTTTCTGGTTAATGTGGGTGGCCAGGGAGATTCATGAGTGACTGGGAAGGCAAAGGGAGGTAGCGGCCGCAGCGTAGCTTGCACACACTGTTGCTGAGCTGCTGAGTCACTTTGTTGAGGTCAAGTGGCCCGAAATTGCTCTAAGTTCCACCTGGATCCTCCGTCAGCTTCTTTGATTCCTGGGCCAGGTGTGTGTGTTTAGTTCCATTGGCGAAGGAGCCTGGCTTCTGCAGGTGACCTCATCACTAACGCCCGAGGCGGTAAGAAGGAACTCAGTCTACAGTCCGTTCTTGTGGGAGGCCAGCTTGTACTGAGGGGGGGGTGTCGTCGAGCCGGCTTTTCATCTTCCCCTCCTGACTACCTGCCCTGTGGATTCCGAGCTCCAACACCAGGTATGGCGTCTTCCTGAGACTGCTTAACCAGCTCCCACATTTGCATAAACCCCTTCTACTGGTTTTATGTATATATGGAACCCCAACTGATACAGAGTTTCATACTGAGAGTGGTTCCAAAAGAACAGAATCTTTTTTTTTTGAGAGCAAGAGCAAGAGTGCAAGCAGGGGGAGTGGCAGGCAGAGGGAGAAGCAGGCTCCCCACTGAGCAAGGAGCCCAATGTGGGGCTCTATCCCAGAACCCTGGGATTGTGACCTGAGCCAAAGGCATCTGCTCAACCAACTAGACACCCAGGTGCCCCCAAATAACAAAATCTTGATGAATCCTCTGAATGTGTACAACCTGATGTATATAGAGCTTCTGCCCCATTATTGTGCGTGAAAATCCACTGATAATCCCAGGATACTGGTTTTAAGAAATGTCCAACCCCTGGTGGTTGAGGATGAGTCTTTTTGTTGCTTCCTGAGTATCATTTGGTTATCTATTCTTGGTTTTTTTCTGGAACTCTCATTTTCTTCCTTGGGCTTCTAATCTCTGGAATTAAATGCCTTTGTTGGAAATTTTACCTAAAAATGTACTTAGATTTTACTGAAGATTGTTATTGAATGTTGTGAAACTTCTGCTTGAAACACGAGCTCCGCGTAACCACATTTCAATTTTATAAAGTATATATGTACAATATAGAGTTGTGAAATCTCAATTTATATTTATTACAAATGAGATGGAACATCTTTTTGTTGGCCAGTCTGTTTTAAGAAAATGTTGTTCTTTTGCTCATTTTTCTAATAGCTACTTGTCTTTATTATTGATTTCTAGGAACTTTAAAACTCTCCTTGATACTAATCCTTTATCTGGGGAGCAGATTATCTTTTCCAGTATGTGACTTTATTTTTCCCTTTTTTCTGACATAAATATATTTTTAAGGTTTTATTTTAATTCCAGTTAACATACAGTGTTATCTTAGTTTCAGGTGGACAATATAGTGATTCAGGTTTTTTTTAAGTTTCCTGCTGACAGATTTTTAAGAAGTCTTTTTTTGTTTAGTTTTTATTTCATAATTCTAAACTGCGATTCAGCTAGACTTGGAGGGGAATAAGGAAAATATGGAACCCGTAGAGCTGCAGCAAGAGCTCAAAGATTGTAGGATATTTTGAGCAGATGGGGGTGAAGGGGTGCCCTCCGGAGCTGCAGAAGGAACAGTCTGGTAGTTAGAAAACACAAGTCAAATTTATGAGATTCGTCCTCAGTCGGCAATAGTGATCTTCTTGCTGGTCTTGCCATTCCCGGACCCAGAGCACTCCATGGCATCCACAATATTCCTGCCCTCTCTCACCTTGCCAAACACCACATGCTTGCCATCTGACCACTCAGGCTTTGGCAGTGGAGGTGAAAAACTGGGAACCATTTGTGTGAGGGCCAGCATTTGCCCTGGACAAGATGCCAGGACCCGCGTGCTTCAGGAAGAAATTCTCATCAAATTTCTCCCCATAGTTGGACTGGCCGCCAGTGCCATGATGGCGTGTGACGTCACCACCCTGGCACAGAAATTGCAGAATAATACTGTGAAAGCAGGAACCTTTATCCTTTCTCCACAGTGCTCAGAGCACGGAAGTTCTCTGCTGTCACTGAACTTTGCCAACAGCTCATAGGAGCCGCGGGCCAAGGGCTCACGGTCCGCAGCGGTATGGAAGAACGGGGCGGGGGGGGGGGGCGGGGAGGGTTCCAGGGCAGCGTCTGCAAGGCTTGAGCAGAAGTTTTAAATGTCAATTTACCTAGCCTGTCTTCTCCATTATAATTTGTGCCTTTTGCATCTTGTCTAAAAACAAATATTCTTTCCAACCCTGGAAATACAAAGATCCAGTCGTTGCTTATTATTTGCCAGTTCTGTATTTGCAAATTCACCTACTCACTGAAATTTGTAACCCTAAATCAACATTTATGGCGGCCGTGTGCAAGGTAGTGAAATTTGGAGTCAAAGGTGTACCAGCTGAGGTCAAACAAGGCAATGCTCTGCCTTCGGGTTCAGTTCTCTGACTGTAAACAAGCGTCCTTCGCATGGTGTATTTAGTGCCCCCCTTTTTTTGTATTTTTGTGCTTTGTGTTGGTGATTTCACTGTTCAAAATGATCCTCAAACGTAGTGCTGAAGGGCTTTCTAGTGTTGTTCCTAAGCGCAAGAAGGCCCTGGGGTGGGATGGGGGAGTGAGATGGTGGGGGTGGGGGGGGGAAATGGTCAGTTGAAAACAGGTGTGTTGGGTAAGCTTCCTTCAGGCTGAGGTTGAGCACTGCTGGCCCAAGTTCAGTGTTAATAAATCAGCTCTATGTATGAAGTGAGGTGTCTTTGAACAGAAACACGTAAAAGGAGGTCAATTGTTGATGAATTGACGAAAATCTTGTGACCAGAGGCTGGCAGGGCCCAAGCCCTGTCTTCCCCGGGAGCAGAACTTCAGTATTCACAAAACTGTACATTTCAGGTTTTCTGTGAAATCTGTTGGATTTTGCTGGGAACTGCCTTAAATTTATAGATTAACCTGGAGAGAACTGACATCTTTACTATATCGAGTCTGCCTATCCATAAACATGGTGTATTTTTTTTCCAATTAGTTTAGTCTTCTCTAATGTCTTTTAATAAAGAATTTTTCATTATCATTACAATCTCTTCAAAAAGATTTATTCTAAGATACATGATGGGCTTTCTCCTATTTTATCTTTTTCAATCCTGCTGGCTCTTTTGTTCATAGGGTTTAGTTCTTTTAGGATTTGTTTTCTTCCTTTCTCGTCTTCATTTTATATGTATTTCTTTGATAATCTCTTTTGGGCTATCTCTCTGTGTTTAGCGTTCCTGGGGGTATAATTCTATATGCAGACTCTTGATCGGGTTGGATTGTTCCCTCATGGGCTCTGCCGTTTTTTATTGTGAGCTCCTCCTTAGCAGGGCTTGTGGGGTTTTTTCCTGGGTAAAATCCCATGATATTTGGGATGTGGGCGCAATTCTTCAGAGAAGTTTTTTGTTTGCTTCTGCCTTGGGCCATGGTAGTATCACTGCTTGAGGAATAATTCTGTTAGAGTCTGGAGTTTCTGAACTATGTGGGTAGAGTAAAAGCAATGTGAACTGTGGTCCTGTGGTTTTGAGTTCTCAGAGAGCTTTTCTTTTTTTCCCACCCAAAGCCCTGTGTCCTGTGGTCTCTCTTGTTTTTAAGTCTTTTCATAAATAAAAGAGTCCCTTAAGGGTCTTGCTTTATGCAAAGTACTCAGTTCCAGTTTCCTACCTCCCAAAGCTTCATTTATTACCCCTGTGTGGGAATTAACACCAAACCCCTGGGTTCTGGAGACAAATACCCTCCCCCATTAGCGCTAGCACTCACCCCTGTGCTTTCTCACTTCCCTCTTTGTTTCTGGCACCTGGGGATTTGCTTTTAGTATTTGTGAGCTTAGCTGCACATTTAAAATAATTATGTTACATTTTACCCAGTACTTCTAGGTGATTATGGTAAAAGGATTTTCAAGTTGTCAGAGTCCACCGTATTGCTAAAAGCCAATAAATAGATTTTTTTGGTATCTACTGCTATTTGTTAATAATCTTGGTATCTACTGCTATTTGTTAATAATCTTCATATTTTTACTTGGGCAATGATTGATGTTCACAATATGCCATGGTGCTGGAATTATGCAATACTGTCATTTAGT